CTGGGCCCCAAAGGCTCCCCTTCATCTTTATCCTTCATCGTCCGCTTTCTCAAAAAGGAACTGTACAATCCAGATCACCACCATGCTCTGAGCTCCTACTCAGTCATCACCTGTGGCCGGCTGGCATCTGCTCTTAACTTGGGTGCTGCAGGCACCACAGCAAGACCATTGCTACTTGCCTCACAGCAGCTCAGAAGCCCACTTGGAAGCTCTAAGCTCCACCATCCGCCTGCGGGTTCTGATGCTGTCGGCTTTCCCCACCTTTGTGAAAACCTCTCCTTTGCACACACAGCTCCCTTCCAATCCCTTTCTCCATTCCTTCTTAGTCTCACCTACAAGCACTCACTCTTCGGCCTGTCCCTTGAATGTCCCCTGTCCTCTGGGTCTGTCCTTGGACCTTTTCCAGCTCTGACACTCTCCCTAGGCAGCCTCCCTCCCTCCCATTGCTTCATGCAGTACTGTTGGATGATGACTCCCCAATACTCATCTTCAGTCCTGATCTGTCTCCTGGGCTCACACTCACATTTCTTACCAGGTGTCCAGTACGTGCTGCCCATTATCTGCCCTCTTCTTCCTCCCACCCTCTGGACAAGTCTGTTCCATCTCCAACCCTCTTGATCTCTGGTGCAGTTCCACTAATGCTCAACATCCCAAGCCAGAAATCTTGGATTCTCATGAGACCTGTTCCTCTCCATTGCTGCCCACATCTAACCTGGTGTCAAAATCCTCCTGATCTTATCTCAGAGTTTTCAAATCTGGTCTCCCCATGTCTGTGGTCACAGTAATAACAGAAAATACTTATGCAGTGTGTATGTTCCAGATACTTGCCTAAGCGATACGCACGCACATTCACATCCATTTGAGCTTCACGACCATCCTGCGAGCTAGACACCAGTATTCTCCCCATTTTTATAGATGACAAGGCTGATGCACAGACATGGAAGAACTTGCCTAATGTCACAGCCTGGTAGTGCAGAGCCAATATTTGAACCCAGAAGATCCGGCTTTGTTTACATGCTAGAATCTCTGTCCTTAGTTCAGCCCACGCTTGCCCTGGCAACAGCATTACATCTGGCCTCTCCTGCGCAGGCCCTTGGCTAGTTCACCTTCCTTCCCCCCCTTACCCACACCATACAATGCTTTGCCATTGAATGAAAATAGTTAGGCTTAAAAATGTCTACTAGCTCCCTACTGCCCTTGAGACTAATTCTACACTTCTCTGTCATTTAAAGTGCTTCCTAATCTGGCCCAACCCACAGCTCCAACCTCATTTCATCCCCCGCTGGACTTCTCACCATTCTGCAAAGCTGCACCCTTTTTCAACAGCAAGTCTTCACACTCACTGTCTCCCGTGCTAGCACACGGCTGCCCGGCCTCTCTGCCAGTCAAAGTCTGACTTTTCCTTTGCTACCCACTTCCACACCATCTCTGCGTATTTTCATTGGGCAGTGTCCCATGGCTCAGCACTCGTGTTGTTTAACAGAGTCCACCATGAATATAACAATTTATCTTCTTTCAAATAACATGGTCTAAGAGCTGGGAATTTAGCTCAGCAACATAAGCGCCTGTCTGTTAAGTGCGAGGTCATGAGTTCGATCCTGGGTACCAACAAAACAAAACACAATAACATCCTTCATCTAGCATTTAAGAATGAATGGATGGCCCAAGGTGTGGTCCACTATACCCTTCCATCTCTGCCCCTGCACTTCAAATGGTTCTTTCACAGGGTCACACGTGATCGAAAGGTTGGGAAGGTTCCTTGCAATCTGTTTTCCTGATTTCCTACAGCTCAGAGTGTCTCTGTTGTCCGTTTCTCTTCAAAGAAAAAAGAATACAAGGAGAGTGAAAGAGTTCAACTGACCAGTGGGAATGTGACATAAGAAAAATGATGGCACCAGGGCACACAGACCTGTAGGGCCTTTAATTCCATCTCATTTACATGTCTTCATCTCATTCACGAGGAAACTAAGGCTCGGGAAGAAGAGGTTTGCATAAGAGACTTGACATGGAAATGCTGCGTGAATGCTGGATGAGCCCACGTTCCTTGTTCATGCAACCTTAGAACTGCCGTTCCCCCAGCACTTAGCTTTAACTCCCAGTCACACTAGCTGGCCTGGGCTTTCAACAGGAGCCCTCTCAGGCCAGTGGTTCTTGCTTTGCTCTTGATCTGTGTCTAATCCGAGCAGTCCCTCCACAAGTGCGCTTTCCTCTCCTCCCCACTCCCTCTGCCCCCCACTTCCTTCCATTTAGTCACAGTGAAGTCACGCTCAGAATCCACTCCCAGGCCCCTCCCCGAGAAGCGCGTGTGTGTACACCAGAAGAAATCAGAGTGCAGAGGAGGACACAGTGAGGCATTGTGGGAAAACTGGGCTCCAGAGTCAAAGACATGTGGGTTCAAATTGTGGCCCTGTCAGTCATGTGACCTTCATCCAATTATTAAGTCTCTCACATCACTGCTGAAAAAGGCAGGGCTGTCTGGGAGTAAAATAGGGATAGGAACTGGTTTACAGTGAGAATTAAATGAGATAAAGTGTGTTGAGTGTCTGTTTCTCTGGCTGGGAAGCATGAGACGGGACTGCCCAAGCAGAGGCTTGGGTGGCACCTGCAGTCCTGCAGGTGAGCTGGTGTAGAGGTACGTGTGTGGGCATGGGCATCTGATGGCCTCTGAGGGAGAGTCAGAGGGCGAGGAGTGGAGCCTTAGGAAGGCTGTGGAGATGCTTGCAGGTGAGTGTGACCAAGCTGAGTGTCTTTCCTCCCAAATGCCCTCCCAAATCACAGAACTACGGGGTCTGCCCATCGCAGTGATGAAAAATCCAAGCCCCTCCTGGGGGGGGGGTGAGGAAATAATCTACCCCAGAGGATTATCGGAGGTAAACAAGCCAAAGTGAGCCTATTCCAGAGCCCAGCTGGTGGGAATTGTACTCCAAAAGATGTCCAAAGGATCAGGGTCCTTCTCGTAGCCTGCCCAGAGCCACAGGACCTATCCCTCCCTAGCTTTGTAAACAGCACAAACATTTCTCAAGCTCTAGATGGATCACAGAGGCAGCCAAACTCACCAAGCCTGTGGAGCTGGCTACCTTCCAGCAGGCTGGCATGGCCACATTTTGGAGTGGGACAGACTCCTCCCTGTGCTTCTTGTCCTGGCCCAGGCAGTGAGAGGTAGTCCCCAAGGTGGTGATGGTGGGGGAGTTCGGAGTGCAGAAAGCATAAGAGACAGCCCACATCCCCCTGCTTGGTACCCTCCTGCAGGTTCGGAGCCCTGGGAGCACACCTCCACCTTTCTGCTCAAGACAAACCTAGCCAAACTATCTCTTAGATCAGAGTCTGTCTCCCATTGAAAGACCCTGAGTGAGAAGCTGATTGTACAGTGATCGTTCCTTGGCAGGACTTCTAGGATTTTACAAACTGCATTGACTGGTAATCCTTCCTCTTAGCTAACCTAAATCTCTGTGTAATGAAGTCTATCTCAGTGGATGTGGGGAAGGAAAGAAGAATGGAGGGTTTTCATTTGTTAGCAAATTTCTCATAAAATTCGCCTACCTAAAAGCTTTTGGCTTAGGGCTCGAGATTATTCCTCTCTCTGACTGTGAAGAATGTACCCGGAATTAATGGCCCTTTAGGAAAGGTTAGTAGTGGCTTCAGATCATTCTACAGATAAAGGAGGAAAAGAACATATGTGATATCTGTCTACATTTCATCTCACTGACTTCCACCCAGAGCCAAGCAGCCTCCAGGGAAGGAATCCCCGAGGCATGCGTGCACCCCATGTTGGGATTTGGGTCCCTCCCACTTGCTGTCTTCTCCAACCCACTCTTCCTTGCTGGACAAATCATTCTTCATCCTTCAGAGCTTCACGCAGGTACCACCTCCTCCACGGAGCCTGCTCTGAGTTCCTGGCAAGAATCAATCTTTCCCATTTCTGTCCGATGCCATGCTTTTGCACACCTGAGCAAGGCACACACGAGACTTACTCATTTAGGACACTCTTGGGTACCCCCCCATATATGCATATACATGTGGACTTCAGGCTCCCTCAGTATAGAGGTGTCTTAACCGTTTATGTTCCCACAGTTGGCATAAAGTAGTTGCCCCTTTTCTGATTTATTAACTTTCCAGCTGAAAAACACTCAGGCCAAAAGGATTAAACCAAAACTATACAGCTCGGTAGTTAGTGGCAGAAACTGGAGTAAAACCTTGGCTTTCTCACTTTGGTAGACACAAAGTCTCCCTTTCTCCCCCTTCTGCCTCACTCGAGGGCCCCCCATCCTTGCTTTCTTTTTCTTCCCTGCTTCCACTTTCTCCTCTGCAAACCCTAGCTACTCAGACTTTGTTTTACTTCCTGCCTGCTCGGTTTCCCATCAGCCTGCAACCCCAGAGTGGGAAATTCTCTCCCTCTGTTCCTCCCTTTTCTTTACTCAACCCCAATCTGCAATCTTTGCAACAGCACCTGCCCCTGCCCAAAGGCTTCCTAACTCAGTCTGCCCTCGCCCAGCTCAGATCCCTTTCTGTTGTCTCCCCAGCACGGGTTAGGCTGTGTTCTGAGCTCTTTCGTTTTCCTTGTCATGGTCCCTATCAACTTTCTTTCAATGAGGAGCTCCCTATGCAAACCCAGGCACACTGTCCTTGGTGACACCATAGATTCCTCTCCACATAGCCACGCACAAGACTCGCTAAGATGTAATTAGGCTATATCTGGGCAGCAAGTGCTATAGTCTTAGATTTCAGGACTAGATGTGCCACTCAAGCCCACATGCGGCACGAAGCTTCTGCTAAACAGCTGTGACATCTATCAACACTCTGACATGACTTGAGGTGATTCTGAAGAGGAGACCCCAACACTGGATCAAGGTTGGGGCAAGAGCCTGGATCCAGGGTCCTTTACTCCTGAAAGTTAGATGTCTATGAATAATCACCCTCAAACTGTGCTTAAGCTTGGTATTCCCACACACGACAGTCCCAAAAGTGGTAAGATCAATGTTCCTTCTGACCCAAGTTCTTACCTGTCTGTTGAAATCTAGGCCATTCCGATCATTTCCTGGAAGAAATAACAAATATATACACGTTAGTTGCTTGCAGGATTAGAAGAGGGTGATGGTTAGAGGAAAAACTCTGGGATGTTGAGAAGAGCAGGTCTTTGTTCTGAAAAGGGAGTACCCACTTTCCCTAATGCTTTGATCTTCCTGCTTACCCTGTTTTCCGGAAATATCTTGGGAGAGTCTCCCAGGGGAGGTAGACAGCCAGTGAAAGGCAAACTGGGTTGTGCAAGGTCACACAGCGAGTCAGAGTCTTTGACAGGACAGGTGGCCACGCCAACCGTCAGAGGGCTCCTTCCCTGCACACCTCACACCATGCAGCAGACAGCTGATACATGCCTCAGTGGGTGAGCACAAAAGGGATGGCATTAGTCCCTAAAATTATGATCTGTAGGTAGGAAGTTCCCCCTCAGCCCAGTCCTCTGGAGGTGATGACACCTAAATCAAATCTGTCTTACACTGTTCCCACACACTTGTTTTTGGTCTTTTTCCTTTTATAATAAATATTTTGCTGAAAAAGTAAATATGTACTTCATAGAAAAACTTTGAGGTATTCAGAAAATATTTAAAGTAATGGAAAAGAGACAACAGCATTTTTGTATGTTGATAGTCTTTATGACTGTGTTCCTTCATGGCTGTATACCATTCCATATAGATTTTTAACCGCCCACCCTTTTTATGATGCTGCGGATTGAACCTAGGGGTCTCCCTATGTTAGGCAAGCACTAGAATACTGGGGAACTGTGCCAGTCCTTTTAATGTTTTGTTTTTTATTTCTTCCCTCCCCACCCACATGGAACCCAGGCCCTCGTGCATCCAAGTAAGAGCTCTACCACTGAGCCACATCCCCAGCCCCCTTAGTTTTTTATTTGGAAACAGGATCTCACTGTTTCCCTGGCTGGCCTGGAACCTGTGATCCCTCTTACCTCACTCTCCAGAGCATCTGGGATTATAGGTGTGCACCATGCCCGGCTTTCCCTTGCTTTTTCCAGGGTGCACACCACCCATATTTGTCTCAAGGAAAATGAATATTTTCCTATGCTCGTCAGTCTCATTTTAATGGCTACATAATATTCTTTTATATGGTTGTGTGATTTGCTTAAACATGCATCTATTGCAAGGCGAATTGTTTCCATTTTTGGCAGCAATAAAGTTTCCTATTCATATACCTGTCATACAACTTCCTCTGGACCAATAACAGCAAGGGAATTGGCTACTTAATAAATTGCTAGGGATTTAGCTCAGTGGCATAAGCACCTCCCTGGCAAGTGCAAGGTTGTGAGTTCGATTCCCAGTACAAAAAAACAAAACAAAAAAAGGACAAAAAAAAAAAAAAAACCCAAAACAAAACAAACAAACAAACAAAAAACCAGTATACTCAGCCTACCATTGTATTTTGCAAGTCAGAGGAGCTCAAAACATGTTGGTTGAATGAATGAATAAACTTAGAACCCTCACAGTAGCTGGAATGAAAGTTTCTTAGAACAATGTACAGTTCCCCAAGTGTCCTGTTTGCTGCCTGCTTTTCCTGCTGTTTCCTGCAGCTCATGCTCCTCCCACTTTCTGCCCTGCCCATTACCCTGAGCTCTGGCCACACAAAATGCTGTGGCCACACATTACCATGCTCCTGTCCTGGTGTCCTCGCGCAAGGCCAGTTCCTCTTCCCCCTAGGACTCAGGGGCCCTCTCTGCTGGCCACAAGGACTCACTGTGTAACTGCCTTTTCCTCTGCATGTTTTTCACTCCAGCTAGCCTGTGAATTTCTTAGAACTGGATGGTGACGTCTACTTTTGTGTCCTTAATGGCCACAAAGGAACCACGGTTCCTAACCCAGTCTCAAGCCTCAAGAGTATCTGAAAGATGAGAAGAAATCCTCCGGCTTTAACATAAACCTCCATGCCTCTGCGTGTTCCAGATGATGACAGGGAAGCAGAGCCCTGTCCTGTGTGCTCCCAGGTCCCCAAGAGCAACATGGCCAGCAAGAAGAGAGCTGCAGAGGGTAAAAGGCCAAGCGTCCCCAGCAGGAATATGTTGGGGCCCAAATTAAGCTCCAGCAGAAGCCGATGTTCGGATCAGCTAAGACGATTTATAAAATATGTGAAGGGAGGTGAAGTCAGGAAGGGCCCGCCCTCACTCAAATATTTGCGCTTACAGGGGAGGCTGAAGGACACAATTATTCATCTTATCAAAAGAAACCCATTTGTGACACTGACAAGCTGGCCTAACAAGAACTAATTTTTAAAAAGTTGACAAAAGAGCAAATTCATTAATTCCACAAGTATTTGCCGAGAAATGCAGAGCCAGGCAGTGTCCTGGCTACTGGGAACGTAGGAGATGACTCAAGTTTCTGGATCCACGGAACTTTCTTTTTTTGGTAGCAGGGATTGAACTCATGACCTTGCACTTGCCAACCAAGTGCTTATGCCTGTTGAGCTCTATTCCCAGCCCTTAGAGCTTATTTTCTTGATGAGGAGACATAAAAGGAATAAGCAAACAAATCTATAAAGTAATTCACTTAGACTCAGCAGAGTGATGAGACTTGGTAGAGTCAGGGAAAACAAAACGGCTGACACTAGATGAGAGGCTGCGTACGTGATTCGCTGGCATGGCACTTGCCTAGCATGCACGAGGCCTTGGGAAAAAGGGACAATGAAGGCCACTCAAGGGAGGTAACATTTGCACGAGTGGAGTAGGATCTCTACCGTTCAGAGGTCTGGCAGACGATCAGCCCAGACAAAAGCAAAGTCCTGAGGTAGGGGGAGGCTTGCATGCCAAGGAACGGCGGTAGTGAGCTCCGTGTGGCTGGGGAGAAGTAGCTGGAGTGAGGTGATACAAGATCATGGTGAGGGCAGCAGCTTGCACCCCAGGGCAGAGCGTGAGTGCTGTGACAGTCTGAGCAGAGGAATAATCCGGTCTCTGACTTAGGTCTTCATCTGCAGTGATTGGCTAGTGGGGAGCAAGAGATCAAGGAGACCAGCACAAAGCGGGGTGCGATGGCCCAGGCAAGTGAGGGCTACAGACAGGGAAGAAAGGTGGCAGTGAAAGCAGCAAAAAGACCTAGGTTTGGGGCTCATTTTGAGTACACTTCGGACAGTACTGGCTGATGGGGGGCGTCTCAGAGTACAAAGAGAAAAAAAGGAGTCAAGATGATTCCCAGAGTGTGGACGGGGAGGACGCGGGGAGGACCAGGCTGCTGGTGGAAAATAAAGAGCAGTGCTTTGCATATGTTTGGGATCTTAATTAGCTGTCCCAGTAGAGAGGAGAGGAAATGAGTTGGACTCAGAAGAAATGTTAGGCCAGGAAGCAGAAATTGGGCTATCAGCTTTCGGCGGGTGTTTAAAGTCACAGGACTCAGTGAGGTCACAAAGGAACCAATTTTGGATGAAGACAGAGGGGTCAGTGTTGGGGTGAGGAGGAATCAGCAAATGAGCTTGAGAAATCTGGGTGCTCAAGAAGGAAGTCAGGGCAAAAGCGGGGTCATGAAAGGAAGAGAAAGTGTTTCTCAAGGGGGTAATCAGACACCTGTGAGGGAGACCTGTTTGACTTGGGGGGATCATCAAGTTTGTGGGAAATTTAAAAAATCACTTAATTTCTGTGAGTGATTGTTGATTTCTGTGAATGCTATTAGGATGCTGTTTGTGAGAGCCAAAGTACAAAATGGAAAATGTGAACACGCAGAATTCAAAGATTGCTTTTAAAACTCATCAGGCAGTAAAGTGAACTTTCTGTCACTTACAAGCTTCCAGTGGCCCTTCTCAAGAGGCCACTCACTTTGAAGATGCACCTGCTGTGCTCAGGGCCTGGTTCCAGAGCCAGCCACAGCCTTCTAGGAAACTGGCCTATAGATACCCCAGGACAGCAGAAAGCAGACAGAGCCCAGTGGCACTCAGCAGGGCTCAGCTGCCCAAGGCTACTCCTATTTTCATTCCCCTACAAAGTGGGTAAATACACTCACAGGTGACATATTTTCCCTCCTGGCTTTCAGTGCTGGGACCATGTAGGGGTCTAGTTCAAGATGCACCTGATAAAGATATTGAGTTCGTATCTGACGACACAGCTGTCTTTGCAGATCTAGCCGAGGGAGCCAGCTCAGCTCCCATTGTGCAGCCACCCCTGCTCCTGGTCCTCTCCCTTTATCTGCTGGACTTGCTTCACCTGGCAGCTCTTCCCACCTGGCCCGCACCTGCAAGCTGTGGGCTGTGACCTGGCGCACTGGGGCTCAGCCACTATCCCAGTGCTCCAGATTAAGGTGACTGGTGAGCCATTTCCTGAACACTGAGGCAGGTGCATCCTTTCCCCAGAGAAAGGAAGGGGAGACCATTGTCATAATGTGCTAAATAGTGGTCCATGGCCACCAGAAGTGGCTTGCTGCCCTTTAAGATGCTTTTCATCCCTTCAGGTATGAAGGAGGAGCAGGATGTACTTGGAAAGAATCCTAGATATGACGTGAGAGGAATAGGGATCAAGCCCATGCATGTTCTATCTGTCACCCCCAAGCTGGGGCCAAAGCGGGGATCTCCTGAAGGCTCCACCTTTCCAATGGCAAAATCTGTTCCATGGCCTTCCCAAGTACACAATGAGACTTGAGCAAGATACACCTGGTGACCACAATTTGCCAGTTGGGAAGCACAGTGCAATTGCATGGCTGGGCTCCAGGCCTCCTGGGCCATTACTCAAATAGGTGTGACCTGGTCTTAAGGTAGGGATTTTGCATACCCTGTTTCTTCAGATGGAAATGGCCCTCTGTTATCCTTTTTTACTAGAAAGCACCTACTTATCTTTCAAGATCCAGCTCAAAAGCTTGGTGAAGCTTTTCCAAAGCAAAGTACAGAATCTCTTTCTATGCATTTTCTCATCTTTTATTTAAATTGTCTGTAGCACATACCACAGACCTAGAGACGGGCCGTGGTTTGCTTGTCTGTTTCCCTCAGGAGATTGTGACCTCCCAGAGCTTGAGTTACATAGTTATGTTATATAGAGTTGAGTTATACAGTTATCTTTAT